GTATAAGTATAATATATATATGCCCAGAGCGCGCGACCGAGCCGGAAAATTTTCATTAGCGCGATGGCCGCGACTCTTTCTCCCTCCCGGTAATTAATCATTGTAATTGGCTCCCGAACGAAAAAGAGAATGGGGGGGATGGGGCGGGCGGGGAAAGAGAGAGAGAGAGAGCCGGGGTGAAAAAGACTCTCGCCGCGAGTGGGAAGTTAATTATCTTTCCGATCGGCCGTGCCGTCGCGACAGGTATATACTCCGCGAGGCTCGACGCCACGCTAAATCGAGTACAAATGAAATATTAAACTGCGCCCGGCGCCCGATCGATGGTGCAGCGTCGTACCGGCGAGTTTTCTTTCGCCGTGTTTTTTTTACACACCCGATTCCGTGGCTCCCTCGGTCGCTTGTTCTCGGTAATAGTAAATATTAAACAGAAGTGGATAAAAAAAAGAGAGCCAATTAAAAAACCTCCCGACCGATTTTTCATGGCACACCTCGAAATAAACGGGCAGCTGTTATTTGGGGCGCGCGCGCACGTGCCGCTCGGCCGATTAGTCAAAAGTATATATGATGTGCGCTTTACCTTTTTCGTCGCGAAAAATTTATTCGTCCCCTTTATTGAATAAATTTAACCCGGGCGCGCCTTATGGCCATCTTGATAAAAACCGAGAGCCATCGATCCGAAGCGTATATGTATACATATATACATGGAGACGTCGCGGCGCAAGAAATTAATAAGATTAAAAAGAGACGAGGGTAAATAAGCGGCAGCGATTAAGGCGCGACAGAGATGCGTTTCGAGTGCGAAAAAAATAATCGCGCGCATCGTAAGCGATACCGTTAACTTTCCGAGGCATATTCGTATACGTATAATCCGCTGGTGTAACACGTACGTACTGCGAACGCGCGCACTCAATCGTATCCCCTGGATCGGGAGCAATCGAACAAATACCTACGTACAAAAAAAAAAAAAAAAAAAAAAGCGCAAGGAGAGAAAGGACTCGATCGGAGAAAGCAGTAAGGGCCCCAGTTGCCGGTGAAAGTCCCGGTCAGTGCTTTGTTTAATTTTCCCCCTTTTTTTTCCGGCCTCGTCCCCTTCCTTTGACGACTCACGAAAAAACGGCGATTACGCAATCTGTATACACGCACACACACGTGCACGCAAGCTCATGCGAATTTTCTACTCGGTCACGGGACATGGCAGCTGTGTGCAGTCCCGCGAGCCAACTCTATTAGCATATGCCTATAAAAATGGTCGCGCGCTACATGCAAGTTACCTCACAGCAGCGCATAATGGACAGTCATAAATTATAATCGTACAGGACTCTCGGCTGCTGCCCTTAAATATCTCGTAAAGCGCGCCAACAGGCTCGAAAAGGAGTATAAGGATCGAGAGAGAAAGCCAAGAGTGTATAGGTATACGTGGAGAGGAAGAAGGAAATAAAAGAAAGGAAAAAAAGGGGGGGGGAAGAGAGTAGTGGTGGAGGGCAACGGTACTATATTTATACCACCAAACCCACCTATATATGTATATATATATACTTTTAATTGTCCACGGCAGTCATTTATCAAGGCTGCTGCTGTTGCTACTCTCCTCGAAAGGGGGCGTTACCCGCCTCTGGTGGCTTTCGACTGTTTCCCCTCCGTTAATTTCCACCTTATACTTATACATGTATATACGCGAGCGAATATATCGTTCTTTCACGCGTATAGGTATATATGTTTACGTTAATCGCGTTAACTTTACTAGGTAAGTATAACCTCTTGTGCCCCCCTAGATGTCCTTTTTGCTGTATCTATATTTTTGAAACGATTGTGCATGAGGTTTCTTTTTTTCTAACGGCGCTGTCGAAGCAACATATTTTCCAGATCAGTCGGTCACAAGCCCAGAACCAGCGAGAGCACAAAAGCCCGAGCATGCATGTGCAAGGGTACACGCGATAATGTACATACATACATACATACACATAACACCATAACATGGCTCGCAAAGGGGTGAGCCGATGGCGTGAGGGCGTCCCATTAATCATCCGTTTTGCTTCCCACTCGAAAATTTGTACCTCGAGTTACCGACCTTTGCGCGACCGCGCGAATATCTCCCTTCGGCATCTCCGTCCCAGCCCCGAAAAGGTAAATAAAAACGTCCAAGCGAGTGATAATCACCTGCCGGTCTTGGTGATGATCATCTCCGTGCCAAGGTCGTTGAACTTGTCCCAGAGCTCCTTGGTCTCCAAGTGGCACTCCACCTCGCGCAGCTCCTCCGAGTTGCACGTGGGCGCCGTCTGGTGTCTGCGCCGTTTTTTCGCGGCCGGCTGCTGGTGATGGCCGGTCTCCTCCTCCTCCTCCTCCCGGCAGGACTTGCGCCGTTTCAACAGATTCTCCGTGGGTATGACGGATATGGGGCCCTCGTCCACGCTGCTGCACTCCTCGACGTCGACCTCCTCGTCGTCCTCGGGGTCGTTGGTCGACTTGTCGGTCGCCACGCTCTCGACGTCTATGCCGTTGCCGCTCGACTCGTCCAGCTCGTCCTCGTCGAGGAGCGCCTCGTCCGTCACCACCGTCGCCGTCGCCACGATGTTCACCGGCGACGAGCCCAACCCTGCAACACGTTCACCTTTTTTGTTTTATACTTATTTCTGACAAAATACAATTTATACATATATGGTACGTTAAAGTAGGGTTTTTTCCAGGATTCTGTTACGTAATTTATCATTTTTTGGTAGGTAAAATTATATTTTACTCGTTTTTGTACCCACGCAAAACAACACGACCAACCAAGCGCGTGGTGTGCGTTGCACGTGCATGGATAAAGAAGAAGAAAGAAAAAAAAAAAGGAAGGGGGGTATGTAATCGCGAACAATCGATGACAGTTTAAGTATAGCTTAACGCGCGTTTAACGACTTACGTAACGCACAAACACACACTGTGCGCGTCTTGGGGAAAAAAAAAAAAAAAATACCCCGGACTTTTCATCGGTGCCACACACACGTTATAACGTATACGCGCACATAGAGCCGGTGATTAATTGATACGTGTAGAACTTTGAAATCTTAGAAATCTACGCTCGTGCGCTCCCCCTACCTGACGTATCATTTACATTTCATGGATACACGTATGGATGGCCGTGCGCTTAATTTTATACACGGCTGCAGCCGCGAGTCTCGAGTAATGTGTGCATGTGTGTGTAAGTGTGGAGGAAACATTTTTTTAAACCAACTCTGATTATTCTTTTTTTTTTTCACGAATACGGCTATTGAGACGTGAGAAACGAGAGGAAACTACGTGAAACGCATTTTCAGCTCTCGGTGTATATAATTATATATATATATGTATGAAATGACTTGGTGCGAAATCATAATTATATAATATTGTACGACTCGCGGTGCGCGATTATCGATTATTTCGTACGGAGGAAACATTTTTTGTCCGCAATCGACACGTTTCTTGGACAAATCGAGTGTTAATCGCTTGTGTGTAGAAATGAAAATAATATTAATGATCGTAAGATTTGAGATGTAAGATGATTTTTCATGTGCGCTGACAACGCCTTTGCTCGGACAAATGACGTAAAAAAAAAGTAATGAATAGGGGTGTATGTGTTATGATTTTTCATTTATAGCAACGAAAAGAACCGAAGCTCTGTGCATGAATATATTCATAAAGAATAGATAAATCAGCATGCAGGGAGGAGGTGGAGGCAGGTTAAAACGTGAAAAATGATTTAATTAAACGGGAATTCATAATTATTTAACGAACGATTAAAATCCCTCGACTGCCACGCTCTCTCTCTCTCTCTCTCGTCTCTGAGCAGCGGAATCTCTATGGATACTATAGTACTCGTGAAAAAAATAAAAACATTAAAACAAAACAGAGAAAAAAGCTGGCACACCGAGCAAGCGAAAGAAGGAATTTCAGAGGGATAGGAAATATCAGAGGTGTCGTCAAGCACAGTCGAGCATATAAATCAGTCCGACGTTGCGTCACAACGTCACAAGAAAATTTACTACTAATTTACCCCCCACCCCCCCTCTCTCTCGGCACTTGTGCTCGGTATGATGCGAGCACGCGAACTCTATCCAGGCGATGCATAATATGGTAAAAAATTTATAAGCACGCGCAAGCGCTAAAATCTGTCGCACTCTAATTGGACCGATTGATTAAAAGCGTAAGTATACAGTGTCCATGTCCCCTTCCTCTCATATAATACGCATGTATTCTTTGATGCCCCGTTTCCATCTAAAGGTGATGGTGCACGTACAGCACGGAGAAAAGCAAAGAGCATACCAATTTGATTTCTCTCGAAGTAACCAGCGGAAAAATTCGTCATGTCCCATCGCTTGCTGAAATGTTTATCTTTGTGGGATGAACCTACTTGTAAACAATAAATCGGCGCATCAAAGTAATACACGCGCGTATGCCGTGTTTATAATCATTAGCGTGCCTATAGTTGCATCGAACGTACTTGATTATAATCCGATGAATAAGTGGATAATGGGCATCACTGAACGCACTCGCGATCATCAGCACGCCATGACGAAGCTCGAGAGAGAATACCGGTCGTAACTCTATCGACTCGTCGTCGCATCGAGTCACTCCATGCAAGTACACAATAGAAAAGCACATCTTCATGCACCTAATAATATATGTAAGCTTGGAGATCGGTCGGGTCGCGCACTCCACTCGGCACCGATATAAATTCAACAGTTGACGCTCACGGCCCTCCCTATTATCTATATTTCTCCTCCTTCCAGCGCAACATAATTATGACATGTGTTTGACGAATCAACCACGACAAAAACTGTTACATCCAAAACATCGGTGTAAAAGAGTAGGTATACATTTTTTTTAACTCGATGACGTTTCAAATAGTATACACACATTTTTTTTATTTGTTTCGCAAGGATGTCAAAAAAAGAAAGAAGAAAAAAAAAACAGGTGTCAGCCGGAGTCGCAAGGATTCTTTTCTCTCAAAATTTAGAATTCCAAGTCCACGTGGGAGCTTATGTTACACGGTGAATTTCATTTTCAGGAATGCGAGTTTCTTTGAATATTCAAAGTCCTTTCGGTTCGTCGCCACGGATGCAGGAGGAAAAAAAAAAAAAAAAAAAAAAGAGCATCGTGTCCACGCATACAACATTGTATGTTATACACGGCGCAGAAGCACGAGCGTCGACAAATAGAGCCATTTTTCTCTCTCCTCGTGGAGACACCCTGCAAACAGCAGCAGTAGATGACTTATCGATCTCGCGCCGATTTATCTTCCCTCTCTCTCTCTCTCTCTTCGCACGGCCCCGTATATACGCGTGTATATATTAATATAATGTTCTCCCTCCGCGTAACGCGATACGCGCCCGCATATACGAAAGATCACGAGATCCCGATATCTCCTGTATATATACCTACACACACGCGCGCGCGAGTTTATACGCGTGTAGACGCGAAATCTCTCACTCCTCCTCGCGCCTGTACAAGGAGACCAGGGAGGAAAGAAAAATCGGCAACAAAAAAAAAAAAAACAAAAAAATCATGAACCGAGCGTCGATACATAGCGCGAGATGATAAATCTTGCACACGTGACCTTTTGACGGATGCATATAAATACACACAGGGGACTTAATACCCACGACGCAACACTAACACGGCTAGCTCGTTGATATTAATTAATGGCGCGTGAAACCTGTTTCCGCGCGCGCAGCTGTTTCGTTGATGGTCAGTATACCAAACATCGGCAGAGCGTGTGTGTAAGAGGGTGCACACATATTATATACCATGTGTGTGTTGCGTTGTATGTACGCGTGTATATATATATACAATACGACTGACGAGGCTGCGAGATTATGATAATGCGACACCGAATTATCTGCGGATTTATAATACTCGCGCGCGCGCATCGAGGTGTGTTTGTCCGCGTCCGCGGGGAACTTGTTTAATTTCACTCCGACGATCTCGGCAATTTGGATACTATACCAGCTCGCAAGTGTGGCTTTTAAGCTTTGGAGTAAAAATTGTCCGCGCCCCCCATCGCCAATCGAGTGTCGATACTTGCATTTCGTGAAAGCTCGCGGGTACAAGAGCTTTGATGTTCATCGCGTAAAGACTCACTGCATCCTCAGCGGTTCCCATACGATGATCAACGCGAGCGTCGGGTATATATATATATAAAACGTATGAACTATAAGCGATCGCGCCGATCTCTTTAATCTCGGCTCTCTCGAATGGCCGGGCGTGCATGATGATGGTAAAAATATATATAATCGCACCGCGCGCAACCGGAGCCCCAAACCCATCATCCTCTTACATCCGTATGTATGTTACACGCACGCGTATCCGTCCACGTCTCGGCTATCAATTAAAATCAACGCGCTTGAAATTGCACTTAACACCGTGAGATATTAATATTTTCCCGTTGCCCTTTTCTCTCTCTATCATCTCGCGATGCAGTAATCTACTCGCGTATACATATCATTTCCGATCCTTCCAGTCGTTTAATAAAAACCAGCGCAGTGTTCAACCATCCAACGTAGCGATTACGCGTGCAAAACGTATTTTTTCAGCAGCAGCAACATCAGCTACGTGTGTATATATATATTGGTACGGGAGGAGGCATTAATACGTGGTATAGGTGCGCGCTTGTGGGATCCGTTAACACGTAAACACGCGGCTACTAGAAAACAGTGGTATCATCGTACACCTCCGAGAGCAGAGGAGGAAGGGGCGTGATCGCGGGGGGGGGGGACAATTTGTATCTCTTTACAGGAGCGCGAGGCCTTGTCGCAATAATTTTCTCTTGCCTCCGAGTAAAATGCACCTGCGTTTAATCGGCCGTATTAATAACAACGCGATTTAATGACGCTCGCGTTGCTGCTGCCGCTGTGCCTTACAATCATTATTAAAGAGCGGTAGAATGAAAAAAAAAAAAAAAAAAAGAAAAAAGAATAGGTGGAACTCTGCGTTCGCGCAACCAGTAGGTTGTTATATACATAGTTCTAAATGGCTTCGGCCTCGAGAATAATATTTCAATTTGCAGCTCCGCTACGCGTCACACACACACACACACCAGCAGCAAAGGCGAAGGAGTGCGAACACGGTTCGACGGAATTATTATTAATAATCACCCGTTTATTACACGCGCATTGATATGCTGGTTGTACATTATAAGTGTATATACACCTAATACCCTGCACTGGTGTACGCGCAAGACACATTTTTTTTTTTTTTATCCTTTATCCCTCGCTGATGCAGATACGACTTTTCAAGTATACATTACACGGGAACGCGCGCGCGCAACCGACACATGCTGAGAATTAAATATTTGTTTTGAAAAACGTCATCGCCAAGACGTATCGATATTATATGTATTTATTTACGCTCGATGATGGTATCGCGGATGTATATATATATATAGCTGCGAGCAATCGGTTAAAATGCGCGGTAATAACGAAGTGATTAACTACTGGATGATGATGCCGTTGATGGGCGCTTCTTTTCAAAATTGTCTCATTTATCATTTTCTGCTGCCATACCTATATCACTCGCAAGTGACGTTATTGCGCTCCGAGGAATGTGAATTTGTTAGGATATGCGGTGAAGAACTTTGAGAAAGCGTTAAAAAAAAAACTAATTGAAAATACATGTTTATGGTTACTCTATTCGTAGGTTTTTCCTGAGTGATCGAGCCAAACAAGGAAAATAAGAAACCATTTGGGCACCAAATCCAAAAACAATCGTCGCTAAATAACGCGACTCTCGGCGAATTTCTGCGGTACCACGACTCGATTGGGAGCTTTAAAAATAGAGTGCCGTTGAATTCGTTTGCTCCCTCCGTCGAGTAAAAAGGAAGAAAAATTGTCGTGACTAATAATGGATCGAAAATTCGTCCGAGATTCTCGAGAAATCCGTGCCTCGGACCGACCCGAGGGGCCGGAAGTCGTGCATACACGACGATTATAATACACGATGTGTTCGAGGAATGTTTCGCGAATACAAACAGCTTTCGATTGGAATTAAAATTAAATGCAAATACGCCTCCCTCAAAAATTTTTCAGAAAAAGAAGTGTACATACGTATAATTAAAAACAGATCACTCAATCAACCGGTAGTATAGCCACCAAAAGTCAATACTTATATAGCAGCTATATTTGTACTTGAACAAAACAATAACACAGATACCCGTCTCATTACTACAAAACAAACGAAACAGCACATATATACATAAGGTAAATGGCAACAATATCGAGTCGAGTCCGTCGAGTCCGCAAAACAGTGGATGGGTGCGCGTGGAGATAGTCCCACAACATAAAAGAGGAAAAAAAAGAGTTAAAGATGAAGCTTAAAACTAGCAAACGAATTGTAGCAGCGATACCGTTAATTAACATATGGTACTTGGGGTACGGTGAAAGAGATGGCTGATTTAGTATTAAGGGTACCCCAAGGAGAAGTGACGGTATGGCTGCTAGAATTTGTCTGCTGTATATGTACGTTACATTTGTTCTTGTGCTTAACGTATCAGCCGGAAAGACAGTGTAAAATAAGTGATTTTGCAGAAATAGCCATTATTTGGCATTGCACGCCAATGGCCTTGGAAAAAAAAAAGAAAGTTAGAATAAGCAAGTGAGCTGCATCCGAGTGGAAGTAAGCACGGGGCTAATACTACATCCAAGATGGCGCGTGGAGGAGCCGAATCCCGAATCAGAGGGAGCTGATGCTGGTGCCGTCGTTATGGGGTTAAATAAAAAAAAAGTTGTTCAGTGCAAGCAAGGCCATCCGATTCCCTTGTGCTCCAATCGAGAGTTGCATCGATGTATTATTACATAAAGCAAACTCAAGAAAAGAGGAGGGTTACAAGGGGGTTGTCGTTGTGTGTACCACTTATACACGAAAATAAAGGAATCAATGAAAAAAAGGTGGAGCTATCCCGTCAATCTATACATATATCAAGGGTATACAAGTATTGTTAAGCAGTAAGTATTGGTATATCCCAAATAGAGAGTGTCCAAAGCAGGAGAAACTATAAAAGTAGCGGCCGGTGTGGTCCTCGGCTGGTGCGCGTCTCGTCCCCCTGCGGTCGTCACCGCACGTATAGGTACACCAGTTTCCGAAAACCCGGAGAGAAAACTACATTCGTGGATATAGCTGTTTCTCCCTCGGCCCCTGGAGCCTCCTCCTCCTTTCCCTTTTCTTGTCGCCGCAACTGTTACACCACCATTTTGTATTATACAGGTACCTATACATATATATACACATAGTACCAGAGAGGAACGGAGGGGGGGGGGAGAGAAACGAAGAAATGGCGCTCGGCCGGTGGCCCACCGACGCCAAAGATGAGCCATCATCATCATCATCATCGCCGTCAGGTAAATAATCGGGCGGTCGTATAATATTTCCTCTCTCCCTTTTACTCCGCCAAGCGACAGGCGATTGTAATAATATAAAACACACGCGTGGCTGCCAATATACAGATTTCATGAGCATATATTATATATGTACAATTATATCTACATAATTTTATATTTTGTAAGAATTTTCAAAAGCGCGGAGGCGTCGGAGTTGCTGCCGCGTATACGGATGAATAATATAACGTTGCCCCCCGATTGCCGAATCCGGTTGTCTCGGCCGCGCTCCATGCGGAGCCACAACTGAGGAAAATAGAGCCATTAGGGCTGCACTTTTCCACAGCGTTTCCGTGAAGCGTTTTGTTGAACGAGGGAAAAAGAGCAGACGGACCCTATCGTTGCATTATGACTATCGTCGGTTTCGCGCAATTGCGCCGCAATAGGTATATCTAGGCTATACGCAACGTATTAAAATATATGTATATAATACGAGTCTTGTACAATTATTGTACGGGTATAAAATTTGAGAGTGGCTTTCTATACATTCAACAAATTAATGGCTATATACTGCATCCGTTGGGCTTTTCTTGTTCAGAGGATGGGGGAATGGCAACGGAGTTTTCCTGCTTGTGCAAATATTGTGTTAAGGAAGGGGTTGGCGATTAATTAAAAATAAAAAAACACCACCGATGAAGAAACGATGTAGGCTTTTCGGGAAATTTTTTCAAAATCAAAAATCTATCGATCGCCTTAGTCCATCGTTTGATCAAACATGATATAATGCACCTATAATTGAGTAGCCCACGGATCTAAATGCACACAAGCGCCGCACGTTTCGCCGCATTAGCCTCTCTCGATCCCGTATTCTGCCGTTGAAATCGAGACCCGGTGTGCGAGCACGCGATCTCCCTATACAGAAAAAGCTTCCACATAGGTACCATAGCATGGAGGTACACGGTATGCGAGCCCCGCGCTCAGCCTCCGCAGCACTTGTCAATTAAAAAATCTCGCATGCGCATGTGTATATCCGGAGCAGGCGGGCTCGTGACTGTGCCGATCTTGTCGTCGTCGTCGTCGTCGTCGCGTCATCGTCGCCGGGGGGGCGCAGGGTGGTCCCCCAGCGCGCGGGGGATCATCGTGCGTTTCCGATTCGACAAAGAAATACGAGCTGCTACACACGGAGCGTTGTTATAAGTAAGCGCGAGAGATGCCCACGACCACCCAGAACTGCGTGCTGGTTACTTTTGCTCCTGCTGTCACCATCAGCCGCGAGGGCGCCTCCAAGCAGGGAGAGTGTGTATATATACATGTGTGGGTCGTCTGTAGTATGACAGCGCGGTAGGACCCCAGCGAGGGCCCTATGGCAATTTGTTAGAGCCTCCCGAGAGTCTTCTCGTCTCCTCTCTCTCCCTGCTCTTCTTCCTTTCTTTTTTTTTTTTCCTTTTTCGACTTGAAGGATTGCAGATTCGCTTTTTGTGCGCGTGCATTTTTTGCGGCGCCAACAACAGCCCGCACGTTATAATTATTCTTCATTATGGTGGTATACCTACCTATACCAACATATAAATGTACATGCCGTTTGTCTGTCCCGTAAGGATGTGTTGTGGTGATCGGTGGTGGTGGTGGTTTTCGATACATGTGTTTTGACAGTTCCATGTAAAAGCCTATTGCGCCCTGGCTGTTCTCACGATAAATGCACTTGGCTTGTTTAGATTTTTTTGTTTTGTTTCAAAAATACTTTACTCAATTGAGTGTCACTCGAAAATGGCGCAATAACCCAACGATCACTAGTACCGTCCAAGATTCCGTTGGATATTTTGTAATTTATAGATTTTCGAGAATTCCCGTGTTGAAATATCATAAAATACTTTTAGCAGCTGAATATGCAACAGACGCAATTATGGTATCAGTGGGCAGTCGATTTTTTCTTAAATATTATTATAATAATTCATTAATATACACAAATGGCTGTACCCTGCCGACGGTAACGTATATTCACAGTACCTACAAACTTTTCATTATATTGTAAAACAAAACGTCATTTGCGATTGGAAAAAACGACGTGAACAAACGAATGATATTTATGAATGTAAATGTATAGTATATGACCTAACAAAAAATCATAACTACTTTATTAAATTTAGTTTCTTAAAGTTTCATTACGGAAAATAAAAATCTCTACAGTCTGATAATTTTTGCTAACGATTCGACGCAATATTTTAACTAAAATTTATCTCGTAATATCGTTTTAATAACTGCACCCTGTATATTGATACACTGAACAATTAGCACCTGCTCCAAAATGATTTGTTTACAGATATAACCTAAAAATACGCAAGAAGCCAAGCAACGTTATTAAATCAGAATGCAATAAAGTTTTCTCGAACATAATGAAAAAAGTATGTTGCAAACACGTTCGAATACTTGTCAATTTTCGTAAAACGTTCAAATGAAAATTTGAAATTTGAAATTTAAATGTGAATCGGAACACACAAGCAACCAGACGCCCGTCGCTGGAGTTTCCAGGAAACGCAATCACAATCCAAGAACCACATATCTGAAGTATACAAGCTACTTAGGGTACCCCAATAGACCAACTCCCTCACCCCCACAACAATCAGCATCCAGCCAGGAAATGACAAAACACGGGCTAAACGTGCCCAAGTTCCGAAAGGGGAGTAGAGCGTTTCTCTCAAAAATGTGTGTCAATAAACCAAGTCACGAACAAAAAGAACATAAAACGAAGGGAGCAAGGGGGGTACCCGAAGAAAAGAAGGGAAAAAAAGAAACTCACGGTGGTCCAGGCCAGTGGGGCTACTGCTGCTGTCCGATAGAGTGTAGGGCGCCTTGCCAACATCGGCGCATTCCAGGTCGATGGTGTTGGCCGCGGTGGCCGCTGCTGTGGCAGCATTGCCGGCGGCGGTAGCTGCCAAGCCCTGCAGGTGGTAATGGTGATGGTGGTGATGGTGGTGTCCGAAGGACGGGCCCCTGGGCGCCATTATGGCCGCGATACTAAAGTCCGTCGACTTGCCGCGTTCACCCTTGGTCGGCATCTCGGCTATGGTTGTACACACCTGCGATAACTACTCGCCCCGGATTCTCTGGACAAACGCACCGTCGTCGTCGGAGATGTAACGCGCGGCCCGACGGCTGGGAGTTACTTATACACTCACCGACCGCACCCGCGCACCTCCTCTGTGGTACTCTCAATCCTCGGATTCGCACGACCAGCTCACATAAGATAATAGGTATACTTGATATTATTTTTACCCGTACATGATACATATACGTATACACACATACGGGTCTCTTGTTCGATTGTTTGGCTTTTAAATTGCACTCAACGAGTGTTTTATTGATTGCTTGCGCATCACTTGGGGCCCGATCCACTGATCCTCGGATTGTCCGTGTTTAGAATAACGTATGCGCGTTTGACATAGACGTACGGATATAAATATACACTAAGCACACTTTGGTCGAGGTTGTTTAACTATATAATGTCACGTTACAGTCAAACGACAGCCGTACACATTCGACCGTCTACGCTGCCCGACTTCCCGAACACCACTGGTCTCCGAACTCCTCATCCTCCCACGATCGGCCTCCCCCTCTCCTCCACAAACACACGGATAAGCAGCGCCGCTCGCCCGTTCGTTCGCTCTTTCTCCTTCCCTTCCTCCCTCCCATCCAGTGGGCTGCGCGCGCATCCAACGACGGGACTGCCCCTCTTGCCACTGTTGGCATGCATATATATGTATGCACACACAGAACAATATAACATGAGGGGGGGCAGATGTTCGGAGAGGGAGAAAACAGGGGCGTGGCCGCGCTCGATTGGCCAGAGTGCCCCGGAGACTCGCCTGACGACGCAGTGGGGGGTCCGCTCGCGAGGCTTATTGTGCTCTTTCGGCTACCGGGGCCACGCCTACTATTCGCGCGTGTGTCACGGCCCATTCGACAAAATGCGTGCGTGTATATGCTTTCTCCCCTCCCTTTTTCCTCGGCACATCACATGTATGTATTGGGTGCTTATCGAGTTTTGCGGCCCGTCGCGAGCTTTGTTATACGTATATAGGTTTGCAAGTAAAGATGCTGCGTTGTTGCTGATGTGGGCGCAGGGTGAGGACTTTGATTTTTGTTGGCCATGCATGTGCTTGTTGTATAAATATACTGTGGCGTGGGAGGGGCGAGGCATGTGTTTTCCGTCGCGGAAGCGCCGAAAGAGATGTATCGATTGGAAGCTGCAGCTTGCGATGATGTCCTGTCTTGTATGATGCTGCTTTTGTGCAACTTGGATATCCAAAAGGATTTTGTTTTAAAGGTGCGGGAGGGAGTTTTATTTACTTCTCCCGTAAGTGATGGCATTGGATGTTTTTAACGAAACTCTCTGCGTCTGAAGGAAAATAGAAAAAAAAAAAAAAGACAAACACAATAATTGATTCTATCGAACTCTATTTAATTTCACCCAATATACATATATACACATGTATGTATTCGAAATAGATAACAACTTATGGAATGAAATATAATTGTCACGAGTTCACCGCCATGTAAGACCATTTGTTTTTATTTATTTAGCGAGAAAATGTCTTCAATGTCACATTTAATTATTATTATTATTATTATTATTATTATTATTTCAAAAATATGTCACTAAATAAATCTCCGGTAAATGCTGATCCCAAGATGATCGAGCTGTATCCCTGAGCCGATCGTTTTCACGGCCAATTGACTCTCGAAATCTCCACCATTTGTCAAACGCATCACTATCCGCTAAGCCGGTGTATATTTACACACACACAAAATAGTATTATTATACACTTACACTTCGGATCTCTTTGAAAACTTTTCTAAAATCCATCCGGAAAAAGTACGGAGATTACACTCAAAAGTTAATTGGATTATCCGCCTCGAAGCGAGTGACCGGAAAAAACACTCAGAGAGCGAAGCATATAATCTACCAAAAAAAAAAAAAAAAAAAGAAAAACCAAATGACAAATAGGTATATGTATGTATACGGTACACGCATACCTCTGTAGTGCACGGGAAAGATGAATAATCGGTTTTACGAGGAGGCAAGGTATTAGGCTCGTCGTTTTCGGGTCAACCGGTCGTCCTCTCCTCTCTTCGGCTCAAGAGCGGTGGTATACGTATATATATATACATGAACACGCAGAGGAGAGACACCCAAAACTCTCCCTTTCTCTCCCGTTGTCCTGCCGATCTCGCGCGCATCCCCGGAAAATTTACAACTTCGTACCCCTGCTCCGAGATATCCGCCCGGAAGACGATCATCGCACCTTTCGACTGCTCGTATACGGCTCGGCCGGGGGATTATAAATTTACCAACGCGCGCGGACCGAGCCCCCGTGTCCTCTGTAACTATACGCCCCATCCAGTATACAGCTTTTGTGCGCGCGTGTATACGCATCGGTTGGGTGCACTCGGGGAATTTATGTCGCGCCGATTCTCGAGATCTCAAAGTTACGGGCTGCCATAAAATCGATATCATTTACCCTGCCCTCCGTTATAAATATATTTCACCCCTCGCTACGCGGTCACCTCTGTGTGTGTGTGTTCATCGGCTGCGTAGCTGATTTTGGGTACGTGTATAGGTATGTTGTTTCCAAATAGTTTTCTTCTTCAAATTAGATGTATAATATCAAGAGCAAGCACTGAGAGATAAAAATGATAAAAATTATGGAGAAGTGCCCCCAAAAATTACCATTTCGCACAGCAAATCAGATGCAAGCAGAAAAGGAAAAAATTATTTATGGCAAACATTATTGTTTTGACAGTTATAGTGATGGTTCGAAAAGAAAAAATTATTATTGGAACAGTAAAATTTATTATCAACCGATCCTTTTAAGGTTTACCATTTTTACTCATTTGACCATGATTCTAATTGCTCAAACCATTATTTTGACTGTTAAAAATAATAACTTTTTCCTTTTTTTCCAAGCTTGCATCCGATTCACCGTGCAAAATGGTAATTATATAATATTAATTGTTTTTTTTTTCTCTTAATGTACCTGGTACTCGTACGATTGTCGAAAATTAACGTAGGAAAAGAAAGAAAGAAAGACATTTAACCCTCCGAAAAAAAAAAAAATTATCATCGGTAAGTTATAAATAGTACAATGATATATCGTCCATATATTTGACATCGGACCGAGTATCATAGCGGCAGATCACGTGGACTGGTCGAGGTATATTTAAAAACTCTATTTTTCCCCCGTACAGTCGTCACGGCTCGTAAATGTCACACCCATTATACATATAATAATGTACGCGTATATAATGTTGCAGGAGAGCAGAGAACGCCCATATATATTCTCTTTAGCGGCACTCGATGTGTGTATGTATCCTAACACACACGTATACTCAATCGAGAAAAATGTCAACATTCCAAGTATCGGTGACGCAATAAAATATGGGATATCACGTATATTAAACGTATATACAATGACAAAATCTCACGCAGCCAAAGGAGAATAAGGTAAGTAGACCTATATATTTATAAATACACGAGGTTCGGGAGGAGCTGGATCTCGGACGTCTGTCGTAAATAACGTACAGTTACGGGCGACGCATCGCCCACTGCACATCCGTTAAATTTTCTCGGTAACACACACACATACATACACCTATATGAGCACGAAGTGATAAATATTTAATAAATTTTTTCACACCTCGGGCGTCCAATTTGAATAATGCGCTATATTTATACATATTATACGTGTACACCAATAAGCTAGGAAATTCATGTGATTTTCGGCCTACGCGCACGTGTAATATATACATATATACACATAAACGATGATCAATCGAAGCAGCCATACATGTTTACGTATAATGTGTATTTATAGATACAGGGACGTATATACGCGGAGTGAAAGAACATTTCCAAAGAGGGTATACAGTAGTATCACATAGGTATATACATATCCGAGATACAAAAAAGCGAGAAAACGTGGCTCACAATTACCGGGGACTCTTCGCTTGGACAACAGTAGGACACATATAGTGTACGTGTATGGAGTTGAAGAAGCACCCGGAGGTCCTCCAGACCGTCGTGATTTACTACCGCGTGCTTGTATGTATATACATGTGCTGTATAGCCACCACCAACCCCAGCCCCGTATGTATAAGCTCCTCTATTATCCTAATTTATCCCCAGCTCCGTCAACTATGTGCACACAATACAATGTAACACAGATCGGCCAGAGCATGAGCCAATGGAAGGGGCAGTTCCTCGTTGACTTTCTCTCCCCAATAATATACTTATACGTCCCCTCGCCAGCACCACCGCCACTACTAGAATGCACTTGGGGCTGCTACCATATTATATGCACCACAGCGGTGGTGGTGGTGGTGAAGCTGCGGACGACCGCAGCGCCCTGAACTTGTATTATTCCCTCCCTCCAAGCTTTCTTTTCTTCACTGCTGGTGGTGCAAATGCCGTTGGCTATACATGTATATACACGTATAGTCTCGAGGCAATGCATCCCTTTTGACTTTTTTTTTTTTTTTTTTTTTCACGTACCTACATGTGCTTCCGCTGTAGGGCCATTTAGGTACACGAGAGGATGGAAAATGATTGTCCCTCTTTTGGCTTACACGCTTAATCCGAAGTGAAAGCAGTAAGGGCTGTGGTATTGAAAAAAATACCACAGTGCACACACACACACACACACACACACACACTTATTACATATAATGTACCCCCTTAGCGAGGATATTTATTATAGGTACGTCATTTTCCGCTCGATTTTCTTTTCTTCTTTTTCTTATTCTTCTTGGAGGACACACGTGCTCGATGAGATGATTTCTTCTTTTTTTTTTTTTCCATATAATCATGTCCCACTTCTGATTTTCGTTTAGTTTTTTTGTTTCCTATACGAGATAACGCGTAGAACGAGGAACTTGCATGTAAATCACAAGACGTATCTACCAGAGGAAGTTGGGAAGAAAAAGAGCGCACGTAAAACAAAAGTCGCAAAATGCTTTGAAGTTGTGCGCTTTCACTGTTTTTTTTTTTTTTTTTTTTTTTCGTCGAGGTGCAGCTGTGGTAAATTCCGACGTCTGATTCGGTAAGATTGCGGAAAGCGTCTCGGTCGGTGGTCGCATACACACACGTTTCTCCCCCTCAACAGAGAGAGAGAAAATTTACGAATTTCAGCTTCGGGCGTGCAATAAAACAATTTACGACGCTTCCCTCTCGACGGATGCCCGGGCACTTTTCTTTCCGGTTTTCCATCGGGGCCCGTTGATGATTTTACGGCTGTTGACCCTGTATACCTGCGTTGGCTCACCGTAAACCATTAGATATATATTACGCTACCGAAAACGTCAACGGGTCGACGAGAGATTATTTTATTGGAAGGTATGTTCCACTGCGCTCTCCATTACCCGACATTTCCCAGCCTCTCGCGATCTCTTTTCTTCACTTTTCATCAGTTCCGCGCGCCCCCGTAAATCATCGTCCGGGTATCGTGTTTTACGATTGTGTTTTCCAAACGCTCCGCGTGCCTTGAGA